TTTTCGTATATACAATATGATATAAAAATCATTGGATTCAAATTTAATTCCATCCACTACAGTAACCCATCACTTTATGTAACCTACTACACAGCAGAGCGACATCCACGACTTACCCGATTTTTTTTTTGAAGCTTTCTTTATTTTATAATATATTACAAAATTTAAAAATGTATATAAATACTGTTTTATTTTACGGCCGTATTCCGTCATTCGAAAAAAGTTAAGAACCACTGGTGCTGGTGTAGGTATGCCTTACAGTTATTTTTAATGTAAATCGTAACTATGGTTTATGTCTAAAACTGAACTTAAGCTTAAGCTGTGATTTCATGCATTAATATTATGTTGGCCCTCCGTCACTCACTAAATACAGTCCTGGGAAATAATATGTTCACGCATATAGTTAGTTAGAAGTAGGTGGTTCGTTAGACTGATGACACTAATTATGTTTCTTATCAAATTAAAAAAATCACTATATTATGTTAGAAGTTTCGTACTTAGATTTTAATTTAGGTAATAACTAACTTTTAATTTAAGAGGATGTCAGCGCACTATTTGTTTTCTCTGTGTGGCTCACTCGTAACATAGACAAAACGCATATACGCAGAATCATTTTTTTTATATCTCGAAGTAATTTTAGAGTAAAACCTCCCATTACAAAAAAGATAGAAAATAATATTTTTGAGGGAATGACATATCAATTTGTCTAAATATTGTCTCTAAATTATTTAAACATTATTTAAATGTACACTATTTTTTTTGTTTATTTTGAAAGTCGAATACAAAGTCAAATATCAATAAAATATAAAATCAATATGTCATTCCCTCAAAAATATTATTCTTTATCTTTTTTATAATGGAAGGTTTTACTCTAAAATTACTTAAAGACATAGAAAAAATTATTCTTCGTAAATGCGTTTTGTCTATGTTACGCGTGGGTCAGAGAGAGAAAACAAATAGTGCGCTGACATCCTCTGAAGAAATTCAATAATTCTGTTTATACGAAGTCTGAAATCTATTACATAATGTTATTTTAGGTACTTACCTACCTATACTTTATTTATTTTGGCATAATAAATTGAACTGATGAAATATATTTATAACTGTCATAATAAATTATAAAAAGGAGTGATTAGGTAATCTCTCTTCCGTACAATAGATATCGAGGGAATCTGTTCATTGAGTACCTACCTAAGTCAAAACAACCTATAACGTCTTATAAGTCGTGTGTGTTGAATTTGTATTCAATCATTGCTCTTTTTTATAACTACGATTCTGAGCGTTAGTCTGTGTTATTAAGTACGATTTTAAGTATTTGTTATTATTCAAAAAGTATAAGTCGTAGATACTTGAAAATTTTATCAGTTATTTAGATTGGCATTTTCTTTACATGATTTAATTTTCAAAATATTTTGGCTTTTTTGAGATATTTATAGACGACTGAAATTTTCAATTTGTCTGAAAATTTTTTTTTAAAGTGTCGATAAAATTTTTTTGGCCCTATCAAAATACTTGAAAATTTAATACAGAGTTCCTCATAAGTTGTTCTTATAGTGAATAAAAAATTATAAGAATTCATAGGCACAATTTTTATTCGCATTTGAAGTACAAATATTGACAAAAATTCGTCAAAACCATGAATATTTTTTTTTTGTCCTTGTCATCACGTTTTGGGGCAGTAAAAATGCTTTGACTTTTAACTTCAGTACCTTGTTAAATTAGAATGTGAATCTAGTTGATACTTTGGAGGATCAAAAGTAAAAAATTCTTAATATTTTTCTAAATAATCGGGATAAACAAACTAAAAATTAACGGAAAAACAGGAAAGTTTACGCACATTCAGTTTTCGACAAAATCGATTTGGATTTTTTATGTAACTTTAAAACAAATGACCATTGATACATGAAATTTTCACCGAATGTTTATATAAGTATATTTTATCCACCATGCAATTT